ATTTGATATTTGTCAATGTTTGAACTAAATAATTGATTTAAATGTAGAAAAGTATAATTTTAACAAATGATACATGCGTATTTATAGTAGCTCCAACTGAGGAACCAGTCATCTTATACCAAAGGCAAGATAGTTGTATACTGTTCAGATTTCAATACGTGTAATTAATTACAATTATCAGCCTTATCAGAGATATGATTATAATCTTTGGTACAATGTTTTTAAAATATAAACAAATATTTCCATAGACAATTTTCCTAGGTTATTAACTAATTTCCCGATAATGAATATAAGGATTATGTACAAAATGTACAACCGTAGATAATCAAGTAATTTACCAATTTATTCTGAAATTGAGCCCTCAACAATATTAATTACAGATTACAGGCTAATTCTATCCGACATTTATTCAATGATCAATTAAATTTATTTTGATACGTATACATGTACTCGTTACGTCTTTTAGACATTCTAAGAAGGTTTTAATTTTGTTGTCCTCGATTCTAGATCCGGTCGTATTTTACTAATAAAAAATATGAAAGTGCGTTTTGTATTATATATAAAGCATTATTGTATGATTCTTTAACACCTTACTCAAAACAATTTAGTAGATCTGTAAGATAAGAAAGTCGCAAAAGAAATCAGGCGATCGAAATTGATCGCTAGTAAATTAATAGAGATAATTCCAGCACTGTTCTATTCAAAATTCATTAATCACAGTACCTCTTTTTTTTATGAAATCTGAAAAACATCGAATATTCGAATCTTAAATTCATATTCGAATATCAACTCATCGAATGAATATTCGAATGTTCGAATATTCGTTGACATCCCTAATAATAAGTAAATGTAATATCATTTATTGAATTTATTTGCTACAAAATTTTTCAAGTTCAACAAAATGGACAGTTCTACATTTTAATTTTCTTTCATTTTTGTATTTTGATTGTCCTATAGATATTCTTTTTTTTTTTACCATTTTGGTAGAATTATAAATTGAGAGAAAAAAAATCATTCCCGATTTCTCGTTATTGCTCGCATTTGAGATGGAATAATCTTGACACTATTTACAAGCATGTATTGCTGTATCGCATATTTCTCTGCAATCCAGTCTCTGCAGGATGAAGAAACAGTGTAATTTTCGTGAAATCAAGGACACCTGTTGTAGAACTACTAGTACTTGCAAATTACAAACAAAGCTATGCTTAACAGATTCACATGCATATTTAAATTTCTTACGATGTATTGACACAAAAGTTTGACTTCCACATGATCAATTTTCCAAGTCTTGCAAACACACAATTAAACTGTTGTTTTTCGCGTTATTTTAAGCGTCCGAATGACCAAAAACAATAGCGTTCCATTTTAGATAAGTCGTACATAAAAAATTCAATTAAACCAAAACAATACGTTTTGATTTTGGGAAAAAAGCAGTTGAAAATTGGGAAAAAATCGGTAATTTTTAAGAGGGGAAAGGGCCGATATTCGGACCTAAATTGAGTGTAGAAAAATCACTGTAGAGGGAATTTTTAGTGGGATGCTAATTTTGGCTTATTTTAGCAGTTTTGTAGTAGACTGCTAAAATTTTAATCGCTAAATTTGCACTCTTGCTTACAAGTACTGAATACAAGAAAAAAAACAACTTTGATCAGTCTGTTGTCAAATGTTATATCTTTAAACTGGCATTTGTATTTGCTCAAACTCTCACGTGAATTGGATTCAAACGTATATTAAATGTACTGAAACTCATCTGAAAGATAAATTTTCTCTTATTTGCAAAGTCATGGAACTCCGTGTCCACCAAAAAAAGTTCTGCCAAAATCATTGGCATACCTCAGAGCAAGCAAAATGCCAAAGTTTACACCTGCTAAAGGAACATGCTATATGGTATCAGAAGAGCGATTCAATGTTCTTGGGCATTTTGTTTAAGAAAGAAAGAAACCTTAAGTTATTATCTGGAAAATGTTATTTGTAATGTATGAATTTTTTTACCTTGATGTTTGACCTTTTGACCTAAAATCAATAGGGTTGTTCTTTAGGCCATAAGAAGTTCTGATATAAAATTTCATTGCAAAAGCTCAAAGAGTTTTAAAGGTATTGCCTGGAAACAAAGTATTACACACAGGAAATGAAAGTGTTACAAGCAGAATGTATGAATTTATGACCTTGACCTTTGACATTTTGACCTCTAAATCAAAAGGGGTCTTCTTTAGGCCATAGGGAGTTGCAGTATAAAATTTCATTGCAAATGCTCAAAGGCTTCTTGAGATACCATCTGGAAATGAAATGTTACACACAGAATGACAGATCCAAATTAATATCCCCCACTTTTAGTGAAAGAGAGGGACAAAAATTCTTGGATCTGAATGTTTTATCTTTGAGCACCCAGTTTTTAGGTCACCTGAGTTACTCAGGTGACCTATTGCTATCTGTTTTTGTCCGTCGTCGGTCGTAAACTTTTGAACATTTTTAGCTTCTTCTCTGGAACCACTGAACCAATTTCAACCAAATTTGGCATATAGCATCTATGGGTGAAGGGGAGTAAAAATTGTGAAATTCGTGGTCCCTGCCCCCCTGGGGCCTGAGGGATGGGGCTAAAACCATCAAAGTTAATGCAATCTTTAAAAAATCTTCTTCTTTACTCCTGGACATCAAGCAGTCAAACTGCTGGCATGATTGTAATAAGCATTGAGCTCTCTACCAAAACTGTGAAATTCATGGCCCCAGAGTCAGGGGTTCTGGCACTAGGGTGGGGCTCTAATGATTATATAGTGAAAATGCATTAATTCTTTAAAAATCTTCTCCTCTGCTCCTGGGTATTTAGCCAATGAACTAAGTACATAGTTATGATGAGGAAGAATGCCTCTTCCAAAATTGTGAATTTCATGACCCCTGGGTCAGGGGCTCTGGTGTTAGGGCGGGGCTCTAATGATTATATAGAGAAAATGTATTAATTCTTCAAAAATCTTCTCCTCTGCTCCTGGATATTAAGCAGATGAACTAAGTACATACATGTAGTAATGATGAGGAAGAATGCCTTTCCAAAATTGTGAATTTCATGGCCCCTGGGTCAGGGGTTCTTGTGTTAGGGTGGGGCTCTAATGATTATATAGTGAAAATGCATTAATTCTTTGAAAATCTTCTCCTTTGCTCCTGAATATTAAGCAGGTGAACTATAAGTACATAGTTATGATGAGGAAGAGTGCCTTTTCCAAAATTATGAAGTTCGTGGCCCCTGGGTCAGGGGTTCTGGTGTAAGGGGGGATCTATTGATTATATAGTGAAAATACATTAATTCTTTGAAAATCTTCTCTGCTCCTGGGTATTAAACAAACTAACTAAGTACATAGTAATAATAAGCAAGAATGCCTCTTCAAAATTGTGAAATTCATGGCCCCTGGGTCAGGGGTTCTGGTGTAAGGGGGTGGGGGGGCTCTATTGATTATATAGTGAAAATACATTAATTCTTTGAAAATCTTCTCCTCTGCTCCTGGGTATTAAATAAACTAAGTATATAGTTTTAATGAGCAAGAGTGCCTCTTTCAAAGTTTTGAATTTCATGGCCCCTGGGTCAGGGGTTTTGGTGTAAGGGGGGGGGGGGGCTCTTGATTATATAGTGAAATTACATTTATTAATAATTCTTTGACAATCTTCTTTTTTGCTCCTGGGTATTAAATAAACTAACTGAATACATAGTTATGATGAGCATGTCTGCCTCTTCCAAAATTATGAAATTCATGGCCCCAGGGTCAGAGGTTCTGGTGTTAGGGTGGGGCTCTATTGATTTTATAGTGAAAAGACATTAATTCTTTGAAAATCTTCTCTGCTCCTGGGTATAAAATAAACTAACCAAGTATAAAGTTATGATGAGCAAGAGTGTCTCTTCCAAAATTTTGAATTTCATGGCCCCTGGGTCAGGGGTTCTGGGGTTAGGGCAGGGCTCTTTAATTATGTAGTGAAAATGCATTTATTCTGTTAAATAATCCTGTCTAATCCTTAGTGTTGAGCAGATAAACAAAGTGCATAGTGCTTCTTACAAAATTTTTAAAACTTTGTGGTCCCAGGGTGAGGGGCTTTTGTGTTTCTCATTGGGGGGGGGGGGGTCTATTGATAATATAGTGAAAATGTGTTAATTCTTTGAAAATCTTCAACTAAGTGCAGAGTTATGATGATGAGGGTAACTCTTCCAAATTTGTGAAATTCATGACCCTGGGTCATGGGTTTTGGTGTTAGGGTAGGGCTGTGTTGAATCTGTAGTCATGGTACATGTAGTAAAAATGCATTATTTCTTTGAAAATCTTCTCTGCTCCTTGGCATATCAAAGGCAAATGAAGTAAAAGTTTTAATAAGCAAGAATATTTTTACCAGATTTTTAAACATCTGGACCATTTGGTCAATGTTCTGGCCTTGGCCAGGGCTCTATTAATTTGTATTCTACTGAGAGAAGTTATTCCCCTTTGAAATTCACATTTGATAATTAATCACTGCAAATAATGTATTTGAAAAGTTAATAGAATAAGAGAATTGTGCAAAAAAATTTATTGTATAATACAAAAACTACTTTCATAGTTTTAATGATCAGATAGACTTGTAAATAATAGAATAATAAAACTGAGACAAAAATAACTTATTAAAATTTCTTCAAAGACCAAGAGAGGCCAATGTGAGAGATTACAATTTGGGGATAAAAATAGTACAGAATTACCAATAGTTCGTTAACAGTCTGCATGGTGATAGTGATAAATTAGGGACAAAATAGAACTTAATTTTAATATTAGTTGTTACTAAATAGTAGACTAATTAATTCATTGATCCTGATCATCCTATTTCTCTTGCTAGCTTCATCTACCAGTTTATTTTATATTCTATGGATCCTGTAAGTTGTTGTATTATACTCAGGTGACCGTTAAGGCCCTTGGGCCTCTTGTTATTGTCATCTTTTATGTAATTTGTTTAGATTAATGAGTGTAATGTGATCAGTGATTCATTTTTATTTACAGAAAAATCTGCTGTGACTCTTCAGAGTCCCAGAAGTAAGAAAACATCAAGGACCTCTTTGTCACCTAAACTGAGGGTGGATGAAGTGGTAGATGCTGTAATGAAATCAAGTGATGATGAAGACAAGGAGATGGAAGATGAACCAGCACATGTATCACCTCAGAAAAAGAAATCTCCATTGAAGAAAAAGTCTCCTGTAAAGAAAGCAAAACAAAATGTTAAAAAGAAAAATATTGATAGAATAGAAGATGTAGTTATTGCTGTTCTGGACTCTGAGAGTGAAGGTGATGATGATAATAATCGGGATGTTTCAGATGAAGATGAAAATGCTGAGGATTCTGATGAGGATAAAAATGAGGTTGAGAAAGAGCCTTCATCAGATGAGTCAGACAGTGAATCTGAATATGAGCCTTTTAAAGATGAGTCAAAATTCATTTCACCCAAAAAAGCTTTGAAGAAAAATCAGTCACCAAAGAAAGGGGTAAATCAGAAAAAAAGGAAGAGGTACAGTCTAAGTTCTGATAGTGATGTTGAGGATGTGAAGATTTCTGAGAAATCGAGTGAAGACTCTTCTAGTGAAGAAGAACGTGTTGGGACTAAGAAGTCTGTTAAAAGAAAGAAGGTCATATCTAGTGATTCTGAACAGTCTGAGGAAGAAGCTAAACCCAAACGGCAGAGGATACTTCCAAGTGAGAAGAATAAAATCTTCGAGGACGATTTCGACAGCGAAGCAGAGAATAAACCTAGCAGAAGTAAAAGTACCTCAGGTGGAAAGACAAAAAGCACTGTGTCAAAAAAAATTAAAACTGTAGAAAGAAGTATTTTCAGTATCACTGAAGGATCAAGTTCTGAGGATGAAGGTATGTCTTTAGCACAAATTAGAAAGCTGTCATCTTCCAGTCAGGATAGTTGTAAAGGGGATAAAACTCAGTCAGAATCAGATGTGAAGAAAAACAAGAAGAAGAATGAAAAAAAAGATATGCAGGACAAACAGAAATCCAAGGCCTCTCACGGTAAACACTCAAAGAAAGCAGAGAGTAAAACAAATGTGGCAGGCAAGAAGACCACAAACAAAAGTAAAGGAAAGATTCAAAGAAAGAAGAAAAAAGTGATAGATTCTGAAGATGACTCGGAAGACATGGAGATAATTTCTAAAGACTCAAATTCTGAAGAGGATGTCCCCCTATCTGTACACAGAACAACACCACCATCAAGTGTTAAAGAGGCTACAGTAGAGTCAGGGAAAGACGACTCTGATTCAGACCAAGACATGCCCCTATCTGTACACAGAAAGACTTCATCATCAAGTGTTAAAGAGGCTACAGAAGAGTCGGGGAAAGATGACTCTGATTCGGACCAAGACGCACCCCTATCTGGACACAGAAAGACACCATCATCAAGTGTTAAAGAGGTTAGAACACAGTCAGGGAAGGATAAAATGGATCAGGTACAAAGATATTCATGTAGAGTTAATATCCTGTAGAAAACTTGTACATTACTGAGAAAGTATAGCAATGTATTTGAAAAGTTAATGTGTCATTTAACTCATTCAAGATCATTATGCTGCATAAAGTATAAAGTACATGTAGATTCCTTTTTAAATTGTATATATATAGGAACCTAGCTTCTGGAATCCTTCACATCTAATCTTTTTTGTTACACTTGAAAAAAATGTATTTAAAAAAATAGGGATACATGTAAAAATATTTTTTACATATCTGAAAAGGGTTTAAAATTATCATGATTTCTGTTAAATATTTGAAAGGCAAAACATGAAAATTGGTGCACAAGAAGATTTTAAGGACTCTCTTGCATATAAAGAATTCTAAGTCTGTGATAGTATAGAGTGACTGCCCTTAGATCTAAAGTGAATTGAAATCTACAATGCATCACTCAATTTGTAATCAATCAAAGCATTCTTAGCATTGTATTATTTTAAGATAAATTACTCCCACTCCCTTTGGATGTATTTTTATGTAAAGCAACATTAATTTCTCTTCAACGATACTTTATTCTCTCTCCAAATTTTTCCTGGGAGTAAATGCCTGGTATGCTATCTTTTGTATGTATCAATGTACTTACATCTGTGCTTTTCCTGGGAGTAAATGGCTGGTACCCTATCTTCTGTATGTGCCAATGTACTTGCATCTGTGCTCATAAACTGGACAAATTGTCCATTTGTCGTAGTTGAAGGGGTTTAATTAAAGAAATTTTAAAAGCCTTGAAATAATGACGCTGATCAAGGTGTTCAAGTGTGCAATATGAACATATAGGTATTAAGAAGTATGATCTGTAAAATGTTAGTATTTTTTAAAGTATTTTTTAAAAATATTTTGTCCCTGTAGGGTTCAGATAGTAGTTCAGATTCTGAGAGTGAAGCTTCAACAAAGATGACTTCTCCTGTCCAAAAGATAAAGAAATCAAAAACAACTACAGTCCCTGAAACGTTCTACTTTCCCATTTTTCCGTTCGTTCACCGTTCGTTCAGCGTGCGTTCACCGTTCGTTCACCGTGCGTTCACCGTTCGCTCTCCGTTCACAGTTTTGCGTTCACCGTGCGCTCGCGTTCACCGTTCACAAAGCGTTCAGCGTTCGCTCTTCGTTCCGTTCACTTTGCGTTCACCTTGCGTTCAGCGTTCACCTACCGTTCAGTTTTCATTGTCATTCGGAACTCCGAAGTGAAAGGACTTATCTTTTTGTAGGTTAGGAGATACAGGTTTTTTAATTTAATACACTGTAACTCACATATCGTGTTTGAAGAATCATTATTTCATGGGGAAAATATCTACGATATATATTTTTATTATTCTAACTTAGCTGTTAGGTTATTTATTAAATTACTCTGGAAAATAAATGTTGTTATAAGCACATTCTCTACCTATGTAGAACGATGCTGAAATAAGAAAATTTAACTAAGGGCAATGTGCAAATACTTCAAGCACTGCTACATTTTGTTGTTTTGTTAAAGACGACAAATCGTTAATGGAGATATAATTATCCAAGTCAAATAATTACGCAGCAAAATTACGAAAATATTTATTTATAACACGTTTTGTTTTTTTTTTTTTGCAATTACTACAGAAAATATGATAGAACTAGTTCAGAGAGTTATACATAGTACTGCGGGTATCGTATTAATTTATTATCTTTGGAGCGAATTAAATTGATGGTGTGGTTAAAGGAAATATTTATTTAAAATGTAATGCACTACAGAATTTTCTCTACCATAATATGTAAAGTCTATAGTTATAGAGAAAAAAAAAATCTTTCTTTATCGTAACTTTATATGTTTGCCATTCGATATGATTAATACCCCCCCTTTTCCCCCTAAATCGGTTACTTAGTCAGTATTGTATTACCAAAATATTTTAAATAACATTTAAAAAAAAAAAGTTAAGGTCTTTTTTAGAACAAAAATTTCAGTCTCAAAACAAACAGGCATCTAAAAAAGTCACAAAACAATAGTAGTTCAAAATGTACACGTGTCGGCGGTGGTATTTGGAATTGGCAGAGAGTATGTTTCAAATTCAAGTGTTAATGCCCTATGTATTTTATTCAATTATTATTCAAATGTTGGAATCAAATCTAGAAATAATAAAAATATATGTTATAACTTGTTGGAAATACTCGCACTTCGTCTTCGATGTGACGAAACTTTCACACCTGCACAGTGTCGAATGATTTTGATTGACAGGACAAGCACGTGGACTTCGTGTGAACTAAAAACGAGTATGACTGTCAAACAAATGGATATGATTTGTTGATAAAAAAAAAAGTTACTTTTTTAGAAAAAAATTTCAGAGTTTTTGTTTGATATAGGTACAGACATGTAGTGAAGCCTGAAATGGGGGGGGGGGCTAAAACGGAATATTTCTCTCTCTCTCTCTCTCATTTGTCTGTTTAATAAAAACTATAACAGGATATTACTTGAATATCAAGTTCTGAAAATTGAATTTATAACAAATAATATGAATATGTATCTTTGTATTATCTTGTCCGAGTATAATCACGGCCATCTACAGATAAATGTAGAAGTCTGCTCAGTAAACATGGCCGTAGGAACCGGGGGGGGGGGGGGGGGGGGGGGGGGCAAGGGGGGGGCGTGCCCCCCTCCCCAATAATTTTGCCGATATATAGATTACTATAGTTAACGTGCCCCCGCAATAAAAAGTCCGATGTCCTTTTTTTTTGGCTTGTCAGGAAATTTTTGCAACTATCAACTGAAATTTGTATGGCTGTGCCCCCCCCCCCCCCCCCAAACCGAATTTGCTTCCTACGGGCCTGATAAATCATCATGAAAAATAGAAATGACACAAAATATATTATTGTATTTAAAATTTAAAATACGAGCGTATAAATGCAAAACGTCCACTGACCTTTGTAATTATTTTTTTTTTCATTACTTTACACGAAATCGCCTTAACACGGAGATATATGAATGGATGTTACAACCACTTTAATTCATTCTATAAGTCAGAAGTTTTCTCTGATTTGTTATCAAATAAGAATAAACATTTTTATTTTTCAACTAAAAAATATCTCTTATACTTCAGCGTTCGACAACAATTGCAATGTTTTAATGCGATAAAAATCGTGTGATTAAAAACTTAATGTGCATGCATCGTCTTTCTCAGGACAATTTTGGAGAATTTATTTTATTGACTTATTTATTCATTCATCTATTGGTTTACTTATTTATTATTGATTTATTTATTTATTTATTTTTTTGGCACCTGACATTATAAAACAATAAAATAGTTTCAATGCAAGGAAAAGATCAGAGGCATTCCGAATATATCGTTCATCTTGCGTTCACCGTTCGTTCACCGTTCACTTTGCGTTCGCGTTTGCGCTCCGTTCGCGTTCTGCGTTCGCTCACCGTTCACCGTTCACACATCGTTCACCAAGTTGCGTTCAGCGTTCACACATCGTTCACTCACCGTTCGCTCAGCGTTCGTTCAGCGTTCGTTCAGCGTTCGCTCACCGTTCAAGTGGGAAAGTAGAACGTTTCAGGGACTGTACAAAGGTAATTTTGGAAGAGAGGATAGGGGATACTTATAAGAGAGGATGGGAGATACTTATAAGAGAGGATGGGAGATACTTATAAGAGAGGATTGGAGATACTTATAAGAGAGAATGGAGGATACTTATAAGAGAGGATGGGGATACTTATAAGAGAGGATGAGGATACTTATAAGAGAGGATGGGGGATACTTATAAGAGAGGATGGGAGATACTTATAAGAGAGGATTGGAGATACTTATGAGAGAGGATGAGGGATACTTATAAGAGAGGATTGGAGATACTTATAAGAGAGGATAGGAGATACTTATGAGTTATTTTAAAAATTGTCAAGAAATATTGCTGCTGATTATATTTAAATGCATGGTTTTTAGTTCACCTGGATCAGAAATGGCAAGTTATTTTTAAAATAATTTAAGTTATTAAATATCATAAATTTGGATTATTTTTCCCTGATTATACCTGCGCTCCAAAGGAGAAGGGGGTATACTGTTTTACCCTTATGTGTCTGTCTGTCTATGTGTCCGTGTGTGTGTGTCTGTCCGTAACAAATTTTTGTCGCAGTTTTCTCAGCAACTACTCATCACAGGTGCTTGAAATTTTAGTACAATCTTAATTTAGGCATGCCATATGGTGGGATTCATTTTTATTTAAATCTGACATCATCTTCCTGTTTATCCATGCATCTGTCCATACCAAATTTCAGTCACAGTTTTCTCAGCAACTGCTTAGCGCAGATGCTTGAAATTTTAGCACACTCTTTGTTTAGGCATGCCAAATGGTGGGATTCATTTTGTATGAATTCGATGTCAACATGTGAGGGTATATTCACATCAGAGCGAGGGTATTACTAGTGAGCATTTGCTCACAGACTTCTTGTTTTGTTTTTCTTCAGTAACTTATTCAGGTTATTAAAACAGTCAAACCTCGTTATCTCGAACTTGATGGGACCAAGAAAAAACATTGAGATATCAGAAAGTTTGAGAGAGGAAAATTCTTAAAGAATACCTGGTTAGGACTCCCCAATCACTTCGACATATTCATGGTATTTGAGATATCCGTGTTCGAAATACAGAAGTTCAACTTTACTATTCATTATTTCAAACCTATTGGTATCTGAAAAGCTTTAATCATGCTATACTTCGGGTGTTTAATAAACAGTCATGGCAGTAAAAGTAATCTATCTTTAAAATTTCACAAGTTGAAATTAACAAATCATAATTTATTTCAGTTATTTCATCCTTAACTCACCTCAATGCAAAACTCTAAAATCAGCAGGAAACTAAAAATATTAATGTTTTTTGACAAAATTAATAGGCATTCAAATTTTTAAGAATTCACTCAAATGAGATATTTCTATGTTTAGTCAAAAATAAGTGAAGTAACCTCATTAAGTTATTAGCTCACCTGAGCTGAAAAGCTCAGGTGAGCTTTTCTGATCACCCATTGTCCGTTGTCCGTCCATCTGTCTGTAAACTTTTCACATTTTCAACTTCTTCTCAAGAACCACTTGGCCAATTTTAACCAAACTTGGTACAAAGTATCCTTGGGTGAAGGGGAGTTTAAATTGTTAAAATAAAGGGCCAAGTCTCCTTACAAGGGGAGATAATCAAGAAAAGACAAAAATAGGGTGGGGTCATTAAAAAATCTTCTTCTCAAGAACCACTGGGGCAAAAAAGCTGAAAGTTATGTGGAAGCATCCTGGGATAGTGTAGATTCTAAATTGTTAAAATCATGACCCCTGGTGGTAGGGCCGGGCCATAATAGGGAAACCAAGTTTTACATTGAAATTGTAGGAAAAATCTTTAAAAATCTTCTTCTCAAGAACCACAGGGCCAGAAAAGCTGAAACTTATGTGGAAGCATCCTGGGGTAGTAAAGATTCTAAATTGTAGGAAAAATTGTAGGAAAAATCTTTAAAAATCTTCTTCTCAAGAACCACAGGGCCAGAAAAGCTGAAACTTATGTGGAAGCATCCTGGGGTAGTAAAGATTCTAAATTGTTCAAATCATGACACCCCCCCCCCCCCCCCCCCCCGGGGTAGGGTGGGGCCACAATAGGGAATCCAAGTTTTACATTGAAATATATAAGAAAAATCTTTAAAAATCTTCTTCTCAAGAACCACTGGGCCAGAAAAGCTGAAACTTAAGTGGAAGCATCCTCAGGTAGTGTAGATTCTGAATTCTTCAAATCAGGACCCCCAGGGATAGGGCAGGGCCACAATGGGGAATCCATGCAGGGGTAGACAAATAGAATTTGTCAGTACTTGCCCTCGGACAGGTTACCATCGTAAAATTACTTGTCCTACCAAAAAATATGCTTGTCCCACCTTTTTCTTAATTAACACAAAATTAAAGCATTATCGTTAATATTAAATTATTCCTCAATTGATAAACTACATGGGGACCAAACTATACCAAAATCACTTAATTCTTCCACGGAAAAATTCAGGGGTAAGTCTTGTTCCAGGGAGATTTCTGAGCTTGTGCAGTGCGCATATCTATATGTACATGTACATAATTTAAACATTTCTATGAATTACTTAATTTAACATCCCAAAAATCGAAGACATCAAATCATTTGATGATTTCCAATTGCAAGGCATATGAATATCAAGCATTAGAATTAAAGTTTACATTGTCAACTTGCAATTTCTCAACTGAAAAAAGTTATTTCCTATCCTGCATAATATGCATACATGATCACAGTTCAATATTTTAAGTAGTAAAATTTTACGTTTAAAATCCAGATTTCTTTACGTATTTTCGGGGTATTAGTTAAGTCAAAGTTTCAGTCTATTTTCTTCAAAATTCTTAAATGAGGTATTCCCTATTTTTTTATTTAAAAATAATGTATAATTGTTTAATTGAAAACAAAAAAAAAATATTATACAGTAATTGATTATGAAAACCACCATTGCATGCCGATCGTGACTTTCTGTGATCGCCAGTCAACAACTCCAATTTTAATATCAGTATAAAATGTTTGTATTCACGGCATGAACTTTACAATACCTAAAAAGGTCTAAAATCCTCTTCAACTTTACAATACCTAAAAAGGTCTAAAATCCTCTTCCACTTTTATTGACATGGAATCGATAGCTGCTATGTTTTACATCGTGTGTATATTTTAACTACACATGAATGGGTAAATTCTAGAGGAGTTCCGACCGAGTATTCGATGTAGTGATGAACAGCAGCAAAAACAGGTGCTCTACTGTGATTCCTTACATTTCAACAGCGGTGAAACAAACAACATTTGATTTTTTGTTAACTGGAGAAGCACTTGTCCGCGGGCAGGTACCACTTATCAAATAACTTGCCCGCCAAACAAAATTGGTTGTCCCGGGCGTCGGGCAATGCTATTTGTCTAGCCCTGCCATGTTTTACATTGAAATATGTAAGAAAAATCTTTAAAAATCTTCTTCTCAAGAACCACTGGGCCAGAAAAGCTGAAACTTATGTGGAAGCATCCTGGGGTAGTAAAGATTCTAAATTATTCAAATCAGGACCCCCAGGGATGGGGGGGGGCACAATGGGGAATCCAAGTTTTACATTGAAATATGTAAGAAAAATCTTTAAAAATCTTCTCAAGAACCACTGGGCCAGAAAAGCTGAAACTTATGTGGAAGCATCCTGGGGTAGTAAAGATTCTGTATTGTTCAAATCATAACCCCCAGGGGTAGGGCAGAGCCACAATAGGGAATCCAAGTTTTACATTGAAATATATAAGAAAAATCTTTAAAAATCTTCTTCTCAAGAACAACTAGGCCAGAAAAACTGAAACTTATGTGGAAGCATTCTCAAGTAGTGTAGGTTATAAGTTATTCAAATCAGGAACCCCGGGGGTAGGGCAGGGCCACAATAGGGAATCCATTTTTTACATTGAAATATATAAGAAAAATCTTTAAAAATCTTCTTCTCAAGAACCACTGGGCCAGAAAAGCTGAAACTTATGTGGAAGCATCCTTGGATAGTGTAGATTCTAAATTGTTCAAATCAGGACCCTCTGGGGTAGGATGGGGCCACAATAGGGAATCCAAGGGGGAAAACTGGTTAAGAACAGCATGGCCAAAGTTTCTCAGGTGAGCGATGTGGCCCATGGGCCTCTTGTTTTATTAACTTGTTTAAAATCAGCAGGAAACTAAAAATATTGATGTTTTTGACAAAATTAATTCAATTTTTTAAGAATTAACTCAAATGAGATATTTCTATGTTAAATCAATAATAAGTGAAGTAACCTAATTAAGTTATTTTGATAACTTGTTTCCATCATCATGATCATGCCCATGACTGGATCAAAATGAGCTTATGCTCAACCCTTGCTTCAGCCTGGTGTTGGTGTCCCAGTTTAAGGAGCAAATTCATTGCCAAAGAAAGATAAGCCTTACTCAGTGATTGGGAAGGCCATCAAGGTCAATGGGACTATGGCACAACTGTCAAAGTTTTTAATGGGCCATTTTGAAAATGAATGGGCCATCTATATATTCTGATGGGCCATTTTAAGAAAAAACAAAATGACAAACAAACGTCAAATATGAAAAGAAACACGTTTCTTCAATAACCAAATTTAATTTTTCATGTATGCAGCGTAGCACATTTAAAGGAACCCGCGAACAATATAATTTTCTTGTATTTTGGATCAATAACGTCAAAATTTCAATTAAACATTAGAAATGAGTGAGTTAATATACCTTTGTTGTCCTAAATAAAGCACTTCATGTAACAGGAAGAAGTTTTTGCCACGTTTTAACCAATGAGATTTGTTGTGTTAAAATGACTGCATTTAAAACGAAAGTAAAACAAGCAAGAAAGTCTTACGCAATATATTTCCACCTAACATCGCTAAAATTTGAATGCGTACCTTGGTGCTACCAATGATCGATTTAATGTGCCAATTTTCACTTCAATGCGACTATGGCGCGTGGGGCAAGCCCTTCCCAATCACTGCTTACTGGAACCTAACTTGCTTGTGACTATTAAGTTTTTGGAGCAGATCCTTTCCCAAATAACTATAAGCCCTACCTGGACTATGCTTGCATGGATCATGACCCTGGGGGTAGGGCAGAGACTCAATAGGGAATCCAATTTTTACATTGAAATATATAGGAAAAATCTTCTTTTCAAAAACCACTGGACCAGAAAAACTGAAACTTATGTTGAAGCATCCTGGAGTAGTGTAGATTCTAATTTGTTTAAATCATGACCCCGGGGGTAGGACGGGGCAACAATAGGTATTACAAGGGGGAAAATCTGGTGAAGAACAGCAAGGCCAAAGTTACTCACACGTTTAAGGTCATTTCAGATCCTGAGAGGTTAAGAATCATCAAACCTTGTAAGTTGATGCATCTTGGGGATTTTAACATATTTATTAAAAAGTAGGTCACAGTAGGGCTGTCACGGTTCCAAAATTTTTCGGGTTGGGTCGGTTCTGTAAATTTTCGGTTTGGTTTCGGGTTTTTCGGTTTGGTTATTTACATCTATTTTAAACCTTAATTTCATGAATTTAACTTGAAAAATCTTTTATTTGTTACATTAAAGAACTTTACATTGAAAACAAGTCTTAACCATGCGAACGTCTAGACATCAGTGTGTAGAAAACAAGTCTTAACCATGCGAACGTCTAGACATCAGTGTGTAGAACTACGTGGCCTACTATTAGCCACAATCTGACCATTCCTGCTCATTTTGATAATTATCCAATACTTCTGTGACAAGTGTTCTGTCATGGAATGAAGTAGATTTCAGTTGTGATGTTTATTTATCACTGTTACCATCATCATTCCTTTGATTTCGACGCCATTTTTTGTATTGAACAGACTCTAATATATAAACCAGACCTGAACCGAAATCTGGAAAAATGGAACTGAAACCGAACCGAACAACTTGGACCGTGATTCTCGGTTATTTCGGGTACTCGTGACAGCCCTTGGTCACAGTGACCTACTTTTCGAATTTTGCAGGCATTCATTTTCAAATTGTTTTAGGGGGATATTTTGGACACTTTAAGACCAAAAGTCATAATTTTTGTAGGATGATGCATCTTGAGTCCTTGGAGAATGTCAACCAAGAAGAACGTCACCGTGACCTACTTTTTGAAATTGTTTAGCTATATTTTAAATATTTTATGTACTTATTGGCTTAGAATCATCAAAACTTCATCATCAAAACTTTGTCAGCTGATGCATCTTGAGTTCAAAACTTCATCATCAAAACTTTGTCAGTTGATGCATCTTGGGTTCTCAAAGTATGTCCACTGAAAAGTAGGTCACCATGACCTTTTTTAAAATTTTATGGGTATTTTTAAATATTTCAGGTACTTAATGGCTTAGAATCATCAATCTTTGTCAGTTGATGCATCTTGAGTCCTCGAAGTGAAATATTTTGAGAGTATTAATTGGCTTTAAATCATCAAACTTTGTCAATTGATGTATTTTAAGTCCCCAGAATGTGTCAACTTAAAAGTAGATCACAGTGACCTACTTCTTGAATTTCAAGGCAATATCTAAATATTTCAACTAATAAGAGATTTACAATCATCAAACTTTGTCAGTTTAGGCATTTTGGGTCCTGGATTATGTTTACCAAAAAGGTCACCAGACCTACTTTTGGAATCTTATGGCTCTAAATATCTGAATATTAAGATAATAAGGGGCTTAGAATCCTTAAACTTTGTCAGTTGATTCATCTTGGGTTCTTAGAGTGTTTTAACCATAATATGGGTCATGATGACGTACTTTTGGAATTTCAAGGCTTTATCTAAATATACAGGATACTTAGAAGCTTCAAATAAAAGTGATAGGTTGTACAGTTTATCAGAAGAGCAATTCAAGGCCCTTAGGCCTCTTGTCTGGATGAGTGACATGGTTTAAATTTTTGAGCAAGTCCTTTTAGCCTTGTGGTGTCCAAACTAGCATAGATAATCATGTTGGGATGCATATTACCAGACTGGCTGGATGGACAAAAGTATTGGATCAGGTCCATTTCGATGTAATTGTAAATGCAAGAGTGGCCAAACTTGCATTGATGAGGTATCTAGGAATGTACATGACTTGAGTATTCATTGATGTTGGACTTTGCCTCACATATAGATATTTGCTGAGGTGTAGTTTGTAGTCTTTGATTACCTATTTTTCCACATTAAAGATGAAGGATTAAACATAATCATCTCTGTATGATGTTGATAGTTTACAGGGTATGATGTTGTATTTTTGTCCCTGTAGGGTTCAGACAGTAGTTCAGATTCTGAGAGTGAAGCTTCAACAAAGATTACATCTCCTGTTCAAAAGAAAAAGAAATCATCAAAAACAACTACAAAGGTATCTTTTTAAAAAAAATTAAAAACCATGAAATACAACTGCTAATGGAATACATACAATTTTAGCTCAACTAGATTAGACTTGGTTGAGTTGATGGTCCACCCCCACCCTTACATCAGCATTGGTGACTGGGTCTTGTTTAAAGTTTTAGGTGCCAGTCAATTGCAAAGTAACTATAAGCCTTACTGAAACTAAAAATACATGAATAATGCATCTAGTGATGCATGAGTAACTCAGATGACCTATTGCTATAACTCAGATGACCTATTGCTTCAGTAAAACAAGCTTATAACGAAGTGCCAGGTACTGACAATTTTGATTCATTACAAGAGTAATTCGCTATAACTGCTAAGTTTACAATATGAATTAAAGCTATTGGGAATGAAAATCACTTCGCTGTAAGCATCAATTCATTATCAGCGTGTTCGCAATAAGCGTGTTTTACTGTATCTGTTTGCGTCTGTCATCGTGTGTCTTAGTCATGCATTAACAATTGAATATTATTAGCTTTTTCTATAGAACCACTGAACCAATTTCAACCAATTTTGGCATATAGCATCTATGGGTAAAGGGGAGCAAAAATTTGAATTTCATGGTACCTGCCTCCCTGGGGCCTGATGGGTAGGCCTAAACCATTCAAGTAAATGCAATCTTTTAAAAAATCTTCTTTACACCTGGAGTCAATATTAAATCAGATATTTTATACATGCAAGTTTGATAAGAGGTGTGAATGTCAGTCAACCTGGTTTAATGTTATTTCATGTCTTCTTACTCTTCATTCTAAGAAAAAGAATCATGCTTATGGATATTTGAAATAAAAAGGTTTTAAAATAGTTTACGAAGACTAACTTGAATATAGAAGATCTTTGTACCACTTCTCATGCACCTTTAATCAACATGTCATTAAATGAATTTATAAAAATGTAAGCAGTGTTCTGTGAAATCATTAGAATTCAGTGTTAATATTCCCTAAATAAATTTTTTGCAGTATAATGCAACCACAGAAATTGAAAGCGCAGAAATTAATTTGCTACCTTTCAAGGGTCAAATCGCAAAATTTTCCAACCGCAGAAAATACCTGTTGTACAATATATAGAGAGTGTATGTTAATTTTTTGAGTCTTCTCTGCTCCTGGATATATAGCAGATAAACTGAGTGCATAATAATGATGAGCAAGGGTGCATCTTTCAGAATTGTGATATTCTTGGCCCCTGGATCAGGGATTCTGGTGTTAAGAGTGGAACTCGATTGTGTAGTGAAAATGCATTATTTCTTAGAAAATCTTCTCTACTGAGGGTTGTATTACCGGTATACTTAATACATGATTGTTAAGGTCCCAGGGCCTCTTGCCTGGATGAGTGACCAAAATATTTTGGAGCAGGTCTATTCACAAGTAACTATAAGCCCTTTAGTGACTGAACTTGGATGATGCATGTAGGGATGAACACAAACTTGCACTGATGATGCATCTAGGGATGCATACTACCAGAACATTCATTTGTTTTGTGTTAAGTATAGACATTTGTCAATGTGATTTTTGTAATCTTTGATTACTTATCTTTCCTTAATGTAAACATTAGGGTTAAAATATAATTAGCTTTGTAAAATAGTGATAGTTACAGGGTATAATGTTAAAGTTTTATTCTTTTAGGGTTCAGATAGTAGTTCAGATTCTGAGAGTGGAGCTTCAGCAAAAATCCCATCTCCTGTTCAAAAGAAAAAGAAATCATCAAAAGAAACTAAAAAGGTTTTTAAAAAATTCTCAGTGTATATCTTTGCCCTACATTATGTGGCTGGGGCATCTAAGGTTTGCCATATCTATTCTCCATCTTTCTGTCCTTCCATCACATATCTAGCTCAGTTTCAAAGAAACTATTCAAGATACAGTGGCTCCCGTTTTATCCAGTAGTCAAGTTGTCAATTTAATTTTATCAGAATAGCCGAATATTAGAATAGCCGATTGCTCCATACCGAGTCCAAAGATAGATGTATAGAGCTACATATTTTCAATATTAAATTCAAGTACTGATACATATTAATGAGAGCTATTTAGCAGTTCCTTAAATTTTCTGACATTTTTCTAACCTCCCATATGACCTTGACCTCACTATTCCTCAGATTGCAGATAGCTCAGTTTCAAAGAAAATGTTCAAGATTTTTTTGAAATCAAAATTCCTACACTGGTGCAAATTGGTGAGAGCTATTTAACTCTCATAATTTGTCTAACTCCAATCTTTCCCATGACCTTGACCTCACTATTCTTGACTTAATTTTCATGAATTTTTCATGAATATGTACATTGAATAAAAAGAACCAGAATACTGTAGGCTTGCATTGATATATAGATTATCGGTAATTTATTATCTTAATTGTGATAACATGCATTTAAACTTAATCATAATTTCAAGCTTAGCATGACCATGTCTCATATCTTTTTTTTTTTTTTTTACAGATTTCCCCAAGTGATGGTAAAGAGGAAAGTGCTTGGGTGAAGGAGTTACGGAAAATCTGTAGGGCAGTGGGGATCTTAGTCACAAACACTCGACATCTGTCTGGGTGCACTACTGAAAACCAGAAAATTAATAAACTGAAGCAGCTATTGAGGGAGGCAGGCATGGAAGGTGGGGGAGAGTTATCTATGTAGCCCGATGTTTTCTAAACTTG